CTGCCTTCGGCTCAGGTCATGGTCCCGGGGTCCTGGGATCGAGCCCCGCGTCGGGCTCCCTGCTCCGCAGGGAGAGTCTGCTTCTCTCTCTCTCCCTCTCCTTCTGTGTGCGCGCTCTCTCTCTCTCTAGCTCTCACTCTCTCTCAAATAAATAAATAAAAATCTTTTTAAAAAATAAAATAAAATAAACTCTTCAAAAAAGAATGAGAATTGAGTGGCCAGACAGATGGAAGGAAGGAAAATCAGGACACGGGTGGGTCTTGCCAAAGAAGGAGAGTATTGGAGGAAAAGGGAGGGGCCGAAAGTGTCAGATGAAGGTGAAAGGTCAAGTGTGATGAGAACTGAGAAATGTGTTGGATTTGGGTCATGAGGTCAAGAGCTGTTTCACATCATTGTGGGCAGAAGCCAAGCGAGGCCAAGGAGAGGGGAGGGGGTGGAGACAGCGCGGGGAGGAGGGACCCTCCCGCCGAGGACTGGGAGAGACGGAGTCGCACAAAGGCAGGAGGCCAAGGGAGGGATCATTCTGGTTATAACCGGCTTGCTTCCAGCATGTGTACCATCCAGCCAGGAGGATTCGAGTTCAATCCACCCAGAAAAGGGTGAACAAATACCTGACAGCATAAGACTCTTGAGGGGCTCAGAGGGGACAGCATCCAAAGCCGGAGAAGGTAGGACGGGCACATCCACCGAGCAGACCAGAGATTAGTGTGCAGACCCTGGGGCTGCCTATCCCCTAGCCAGTCCTCACCTCGCTCCTCACTAAAAGAAAATCCTATCTCAGGTGCTAGCCACACAATTCAGAAGAGCCTGGGCCCCTTTCCAGACACCGGATGCTGACCCTGGTTGGTCAACACCACCAAAGGCCCATTGCCTCTCCCCAACTACTGACAAGGACGAGGCAGACACATGGCGTAGATTTCGGGAGGGTCCCTGGGAAAGACTTTTCTCACTACTTGAAAAAGCCACAGGGAAGGAAATGGTCTCTCCATTCTTCTCGTCAGCATTCATGTGTCTCAGTGTACCACCCAGAGCAGAGGCAAACATCTTGGAGACCGTGAGGAAACAAGGCTGAGGCCAGAAGTTGGTGTGCAGAGGGAGGTGGGCAGGGCAACGCCAGCAACTGGGTCCTCAGTGACCTGGCCGAGCCAATGAGCCGGCCGACCCTGTGAGCTCCCGTCACACCGGAGGCCTCCAGACTTGTGTTACATGGCCTGATATGCGTTCCTTATGTGTAAGCCACATTCCTGTAGCTCTCTGTTCTTTCCATCTAGAAGCACCCTAACAGATACAGTACTAATTATGCTTTTTAATTTATTCACTGAAGTGAGCACCCCAAGGACCTTTGTTAGCTTAGTCCGAGTTACTCCATGCTCCTAAAAGTGCCAAAGCTTTAAAGCTCCATTATGTTTTTTCTAATTAAACAATTCAGAGATTACACAAATTTAGACTGACCTTCTCCTAATTAGTCCAAATTATTTTGGTTTTACTTTAGTTTGTGTCTTATTTTTAGCTCCTTCTCTAGAGCGAAATGAATTACAGTTCAGGTGCATTGCTCCGGTTGCTACAGGGAATCTAAGTAAAGGCACTCTCTTCTACACTGTCTCCTGGGGGCTCTGAAAAATCACTGCAATTCAGTAGATGTCAGAACTAGACCCAGTCTTGGGCGCCTGGGCGGCTCGGTCGTTGGGCGGCTGCCTTCGTCTCAGGCTATGGTCCCAGGGTCCCGGGATCGAGCCCCGCGTCAGGCTCCCTGCTCAGGAGGGCTGTTTCTCCCTCTTCTACCGCCTCTGCTTGTGTTCCCTCTCTCGCTGTCTCTCTCTTTCTGTCAAATACATAAATAAATAAATCTTAAAAAAAAAAAAAAAGGAACTAGACCCACCCAGTCTTCTATGATTTCAGTCAGTCCACCCTTCCCATTCACGGACAGGACATGCCCAGCACCTGTTGGGGAATGACAACCCAGTGGTACGCTAGTACAATAGAACTGGTGAGAAATGCTAAACTGTACCCCCACCCCAGAAAAAAATCAAAGATCAGAGTCCAGAACTAAACAGAGCCCACTATTCTAGGTACTTTTCTGTCTTTTTATAGAGTTTATGAAAATAAACATAACCTTAAATCTGGCATAAGACATTGCTTTTGTGAAAAATGTGTACTCTAAATCAAGTAGAATTTTAACATCAATGTTTTAATATCTGGGTGCCAGTTTTGTATAGATTGTAAGAGTTAAGAAATGTTTCCTTAACACTGGGGCATAATAACTCAGGACTTTGAAATGAAAGCTGGTGTAAAAATTTGCCTCTCCCGGAGAATTAAAGCTGATAGAGCATCTCTCTTTTAAACCTCCACTGAAGACCTGCTGACAGAAATGTTGGCAAGGGGACACATTATGTGCTACTAAAAGCAAAGAGAAACAAAAAACATTGAAAATAAATTATAATTTCTTAAAAAAAAAAAACGCAAAGGGAGACAATGTAGCATAGGAAAAAAGAAAAGGTGAGTAAAGATCAACTATAATCCATGTCCAGATAGACAACCACCAGCACAACACTTCGTAACATCCAGAGTCTCTCCCTGTCCCTTCTGTTGTATTTCCCACATACTATGCCTTCCGTCCTGGTCAGGAGACACCTGGTTCAGGACAAATAGGGTTCAGTGACGTTGAAACTTTACTAGTGATGACATATGTAAGCAAGATCACACAGTTAACTGAGAAGAGCATCTCTGACCTGGCACCACGATTTCATTTCTCTCATGAGCCAAAGACAGACATCAGTGGAATTCTATGAGCGTCTCAATGCCAAGTGGAGAAAAGCTCAAGGATGAGCTTTTACCACCAGGAACCCTGGATGTAAGAAGGTGCCTTCAACACGGGCAGGAAGAAGTGGCTGTACAGAAGCCAATGACAACTGTCTCCATTGGGAGAAAACCAAGAGACAGAAGGTGGAGGATAGAAACAGTGGCGTGTATCGCTGGAAGTACAAATCGATTTTTGTGAGCAAATCACAAAGAAAACAACTGGAAGACAGGACCACAGAAATAGGGGCATTTTAGGAATCAGAACACGGGTCAAAATGCACAGTTAACAGTCATCTTGGCCTGTCAGGGACAGCGATGCTCAAAGCAGCCATGGCCTCTCCTCACCGCTAAGTTTCTGAAACTCCCTGCCCCACATTCCAACTCCCCCATCCTCCCCTCTCTGCACAGCAATCAGAGATTCTCAAACCGACTTAAAAGCACAGGGAAGTTTCTAGCCCTTGGAATACAGGAAAGATTAAAGGCCACACAGTGTGAGTCTCTCTCATCACCACAAGAAGTGGACATTCCACGATGTCACCTACCAGAAGCAAAGGACAGCCCACCTGCTCTAGTCATCAAAGCTTTAACCTGGAGTCTTCACTCAGCGATGGCAGCTCAGTGACAGGTAGCGATGTTGCCATGGTAAACAGAGCGGCCTCCAGCCTGTGTTTGCCCCTCACTGATGTTCCTGCCTTCTGCTGACAACAGGTGCCATCAACTGCAAATGAGTACTCGCCACTGCAACTATCCCCTCGGTTTGGAGGATGCCCGATTCTTGAGGTTCCCCTCACCGGTCTAGGCTTGACTCCAAATTCATAAATTGATTGCTTGGGATGTTATATTTTGTAACACTGTATCTTTACAGCAACGCTGAAATAAAGACAAGGTGATGCCACAAGCATAAGAAATAACATTGTGACATCGTCAGGCTCGCCCACAGGTTAAAACCAGTTACTTGAAAACATGAGCAAAGTACTCCACGTTATTATAAAAGCCTACACCATAATCAAATAGTTTAACACTAAGGCCAGACCCTCCTTCATTAATGGACTGGGAAGTCCTAAGGGCGTCTTCCCCTCCTCCCACAAGGAAACCAGTAACCCCAACACACACCAGAGCTCACCCAGCACACAAACACAGAAGTTAGACAAACACACGGTTCTCCAGGTATGTGGGCCACTTTGATGCGGACCCCCACCCAGGCCAGGGCTGCCAGTCATAGAGCACCCATCCCCTGCGCTGAGGACCCCACCCAGGGAACCTGCCAAACCACATCCTGCTCTCCCTGCTCCACAAGACCACCTTCTTCCCTCCCCAGGGCAGAAAAAATAATCCTTGGATTCTGCATGCTGGCAGGGCCTACACTGTGTTTCATGGGGATCCTAAAAGGAAAATCATTCCTGAGGGAGGAAATCAGAGTTAACCTAAAAGCTTAAACATTATTGTAATTTTGGGACTTCTCTGAAACATGGAATATGCTAACGCACACTGTGGTTCCCTGAGGGACAGGTGGGAAAAATAGTGCTTCCCAAACATAAATGACCACAGGGACCTTGTTTTCAAAGAGGCAGAACTCAGTCTGCAGACTTGGTCTATCTACAAGAACTTCACTTCAACCTGCTGTGCCTTGCATCCATTTATCCAATCACCCAGGATTTTCTTGCATCTATTCAATGGGACTTAATAAGCATGTGCTGAGCCCCTGCTGGGTGTCAGGAAATGGCTCAGTGGGCGAATACCTCCCCAGGTGTGCGGTGCCCCCACCCCTCACTCAGCTCCTCTAGCCCCTCATCTCTGGCCCCCGCAGGTGCAGCAGGTCTTTGTCTCTGCTCACACTCACACACACACACACACACACACACACACACACACACACACAATGTCACAGGAAGGGTGCTGGCCTAGCCCCCACTCCTCTAGTCTTAATGTCCATTTATGCAGCCATAGCTGGAAGTCCCATTGTCCTTCAAAGCTGCAGAACTTGCTTTAATACCGTCCCCTGACAATTAGGATGCACTGAGGATGCAACTCAACGCACTGAGACATCAGCTCTCCCTGGTGTGCAGAATGGTCAGGCAGAAAGCAGCCCCGCAGCGGTTCGTTCTGGTTCTTTCTGAACAGCCCCCGGCTTCCCCTGCTGGGTGGCCTGGTTCGCCTCCTCTCTGACCACCTCTCCCACACCCTTCCTGACTCCCCTCCCCTGAGCCTCTCCTTCCTCCCACTACACACCCTTCCGGGGAACCCCTCTCACCACACAACCTCGAATACAATGGAAATTAACTCTAGCAACAGAAACTCATGAGTATGTTTATTGATCACAATTATGAAAATAGTATTTGTGACACTAGGGTTTTACTTGTATTAAAAACTTGCATCAGACACTCATGGTCCACAACCCAGAACAATAACATATCAAGGACAATAATCAACATTGGAGGAGGAACAGGGGGGGTGTTAATTTTTGGTATAAAAGTAACTGCCTAAAATATCTTAACTTATTTATTATAAAAATTCTTAAATGTACAATAAAAATATAGTGTTAGTTTGGGTTTTAAGAGAAAATTAAATCTTTTGATCATTTCTCATCATGTCAAGGAAAAGAATGAATAATATCACTAGCAATTTGGAAAATACAACGGGACACAATGGGAAAGTGCTCAAAATACTCAAGGAAGTGGCTAGTGCCTTTACAGGGTCTGTCACACCTGGTCATATTATCGAGAGAAAGGAAAGTAGCAGAAGTTAATAATAAAGTGAGAAAATTAACAGTGACTGATTTTCAAAAGAGGAGTCAAAAGCTTGCTGTCATCTGGGTTTGGCGCTCTGGAACCACAAACTCAGGACAGGGGCCAAGTCTATGTCAGAGGCATAAAAATGGTACTCAAATGCAGACATTGACCTTTTACAGAACATACATTCTTTTCTCAAGAACTAACAATTAGAAATGTGCTTCTAGGGACACCTGGGTGGCTCAGTCGGTGAAGCAACTGCCTTCAGCTCAGGTCGTGATCTCAGGGTCCTGGGATCGAGATCTACATCCGGCTCCCTGCTCAGTGGGGAGTCTGCTTCTCCCTCTGCCCTTCACCCTGCTCCTGCTCTCTCTCTCTCTCTAATAAATAAATAAAATCTTTAAAAAAAAAAAAGAAAGAAATGTGTTTCTAGGGTTTTCAGGTAGATTCTGTGGACAAAGCCTTGCAGTTCAGAGCTCACCTACCCACCTGCCCTTTGCAGGAGCAGGAGTTGAGACCAGAGACCCCTGGAGACGTGACCTGCCCTCTGGGCAGGCGAGGGGCATAAGGCCCCTGTACTTCTGCTCCTGTCCAGGCTGAGGCTGCCCCCACACCTCACCCACTTCCCCTGGACGTTCCTCAGACTCCACGTCTCTGTGAGCCCAAAGGAAGGAAGGAGAGAGGTGGTCCACCGTGCACCAGGCCTTGGACCAGGGACTCACACATGCATTACTTCACGTAGCCCCACACGAACCTGCCCACCATGCACCAGGCCTTGGACCAGGGACTCACACATGCATTACTACACTTAGCCCCACACGAACCTGCCCAGTGGCACCATGCCCATCGCATGGATAAGGAGATGGGGGTCAGAGGTCAGAAAGCCAGGCAATGGAAGACCCATGACTCCCCACCACATCACCTGATGCACCACTCATTCCATCACCCTGTCATCCCACTGATGATCACTAAGGGCCTCCTCCCTGCCAGGAACTGTGCCAGGACAAGGGTGACTACAGTGAGCACAGCACTCCGACCCCTTCCTTGTAGGGGAAAGGGACAGCAATCACGTCACAACAAGGCCAACTATGCTGTCACAGACCGTGGCAAGTGTTCAGAACAGTCCCCAAAGCAGAAGAACCCACCAGGCAGAAGGTAGGCAGGAAGGATGGGGAAGGACAAGTGGAAGGAGATGGGGTCTCTGAGCCCATCACGACCATGGTGACATCCTCTGGGGGTCATCCTGCATAGGACCTGAAGGACGAGCAATAACTGACCAGAGGGGCATAGAACGTGCTAGAGGCTGGGCGAGCGTGGGGGAGGGGAGGAGGAGGAGGAGGCTGCAGGCAGGCGGAGCTGATGCAGCTGAATCAGAAGGCGGTAGGCCCGGTCCTGCCACACCTGCTACCCACCTGGTCCACGGGCACCTCCACCTGCACGTCCTTGTCCTCTTTGACTTCCGAGGCTCCTTGGGTTTCTGTGGGAGGAGTCTGAGCTTTATACACGTCACCTTCTGGAGGAAAACAGCACAAACAGGTTTTCAAGCCAACGTCCACTGCACATTTTTCTGGCCCAAACCAAAGTCGAGGCTCGGCATCCTGTGAGCTGCCAGTGTTGTGCGCAGGCAGCCAGCCCCAGGGCTCTGGGTCCTAGCATGGGGTCCCCCACTGCCCTTGCTTCTGCCCCCATGTCTGCATTGATGGTCATCTCTGTGTCCTACCCACCACGGGACTCAGTCCCAGAGATGAAACACACTGATCGCCTGGCAAACGTGTGTCCGGTCAACTCAGAAATAACCACAAAGCAACCCGCCAGACACCAAAATAGTATTCTGAGGACATGTACCTTGATTACTTCACAATTACTTCAAATTACGTTAAAATTACTTATTTTGAAGGAATGAACAAAATGAGTTTTAACAAACGAGGTGTTAAAATCTAAGCCGACAGATAAAAATCATCTAATCAGCATTACAATTGGATGTATTACATGCTTATAAAATCCCAAGGTTCTTGAAAACCTTATCCTCATGCTGACAAGACTAGGTGACAGTAAAAGAAACAGAAGAAGCCAGCCACTTCCCTCAACCCCCAGAGAATGTCACCATGGTGGTGATGGGCTCAGTGGCCCCAGCTCCTTCCACTTCTTCTTGTCCTTCCCCGTCCTTCCTGGCCCCCAGCCCCAGAAGGACCATTGCACATCCCTTGATGGAAGGGACAAACGTAAGAAGAAGGCAGAGGGCAGCATCCATCCGGACCCCGCAGGGTGCCAAGCCCTCCTCTGTTTGCTTGACACTTAACACTCACACAAGCCTCTGTCAACCCTTCCACGCCCATTTGTTTGTAGATAAGGAGTGTGCCGAGGGCCCCACACTCGGGAACACGCTCGAGAACACGCTCGAGAACACGCTCAGGAACACGCTCGGGGCCACACTTGGGAATACACTCGGGAGGGCATAGCTGGAACCTGGGCCCCAGCACACCGCACTGCTTCCTGGAGGGAAGTTTGGATACATGCCGGGCAGCCCCAGCCATGTTGGACAGGCTCTGCCAAGAAGAAAATTTTACACACACTGATTAAAATCTCTATTATGTTGATAGAGCATCTCTGGGAATATAGGTTCAATAGACTCTGGTCTTCGGCCCATCCTGGCCATGGTCAGGTTGCATCAGCACACTGTGTTGGCCGCACCCACCAGGCAGGAGCGCTGTGAGTGCCCTGCATCCAGACCAGGGCCTGGCGCACAGCCGGACAACACTGTCATCTCGGATGGGAAGGCCCAACAGAGGCGGGAAGCAGGAGAGAAGCACAGGGAAATAGTCAAGATGTCACCTGGAAACCAGCAAAGAGTTCCCAGGAAGCTGATAGACAATCGGAGCACAAAGAGGAAAAGCCGGACTCGCTGTGCATGGGGAGTGCCAAGGGAGGGAAAGGCTTTAACAAAAATGACTTCCCTGAATTGTCGGATGCTGCAGCGAATCAAAGGGGAGCCCTCCTTCCCCTGGTCCTGTCCTCTGCGTCACCAGCCACCACCAGCAAAGCAACTGTGATACACGCTGATGGGACTCGAGGTGGCCAGCTCCCAGCAGGGCTCCACAGAATAGAAGCAGGAGCAGAACAATCTATTTTTTTTTTAATTATTTCATTTTACAAGAGGCTCGGCAAGATGGCGGAGTAGGAGACCTGGATTCCTGGTCCCAGGAATTCAGTTGGATAGGGAGCAAACCATTCTGAATACCTACGAATTCAACAGGAGATCGAAGAGAAGAATAGCAACAACTCTCTCAACAGAGAAGCGACCACTTTCTGGAAGGTAGGACGTGCGGAGAAGTGAATCCGAGGCGATATTCGGGAGGATACACGGCGGGGGAGGGGGCCTCCATCGGCCGCTTCTGGCAAGTGCTAGAGCCGCGGAGCACAAAATCGGAACTTTGAGAAGTCG